CTAGAGAAACTAAGTTTTTTATTTAAGTACTCTATATACTTAAAGTACAATAGCGCTGGAAAGTACTTGTCAACAGCTTCATTTGCTTTATTTACAGAATCTAAGAATGACCAATCTGTATTAACTATGTACTCATAAAGAAAAAGAAAATTTGCCTTGTGAAAATGATAAATAAATGTATTAGTATTATACTTACTGGAAGGTTGATCAGTTTTTAGGTTGATGATTCTTAATGCCGGTTGATAGCAATCATCTGCAACAAATGGAATATTATTTCAATAATTTATTATTACTGTTTACAACATTATTGAATTAAATGGGGTTATAAAAATACATCATACATTACAGTCTAAGTATATTGCAGGCGGAACATACTCAACACTGCTCTTGTTAGGTTTAAATTGGACTGTTTTCCTACAGCGCGTGTTCCGCAGCATTCAACGAAATGCGCTTGCGTGAAACGTCGGCTGTGCATCGAGAGGAGTAAATCACGCAACTCCATGTGGAAGTGATTCGTTTTTCAGTTAAATATAACTGACAAAGAACCTCAACCAAGATGTTTTTGCAGCTGAAGATGAACTGGTGGCTGTACTACCCGTAACATATGAAGAATTTCAATTCATTGTTGTTGCAATTGTTGGTAAATAAGTAATTAAAGCAGCTTTTTAATCCTCTTGTTTGCTAGTGGCAAGTTTAGTAATATCCTGTGTGATATAGTTCAACGAGGACTAGAACATACCAAAAGATGGTGCCGTGAAGTGGGACTTAGTATAAACCCTACAAAAACAACACTAGTAGCCTTTTCAAGGAAAAGAAAACTACACCTTACATAGCTCCATACTGATGATATTTAGAACTCTTTTGCGTTTGAGGCAGCTAGGAAAACGTAGGTTAAGGAACGCCAAACAAACATTTTAATTAACACTATTTTTTAATTAAATAATGATACTAAATTTTTAATTTTCATGAGAATGTCAATTGCTAAACATTTTGGTAAATATCTTGTTAAAGAATAATACAGTCAAATCGGGCAGCTTTGGACCAATTGGGTAACTTTAGAGTAGATCATGAATTTTATTTACTGTTATCGTCTAAAAAGGAAAGATATCCTAATATTTACAATAGGACTCATAGCTAATTACAACTTTAACCTTGTCTGTAAAAAAAATAAAAACTTAAATACAAATTAATTATAACTAATAACTGACCTGGGGTCTCTACATTAAAACTAATATGGTTTAATCTTACCCGTAGCCTTTAAATTGTAAGAAATTAGTAATTTCTATCGATGAAAATACTTTGGTCAATGTTACCTCATATCCAATAGGTATAACTTTGGACCACACCCAAAAATATATATTTTTTATATTTACAATAAATTTAATTTTTTTTTAATTTAAAATTCATATAGATCATTTTACAGGAACACCAGTAGGTGCATCATTCAATATAATTGTGCAACAATAACATATAAATTCAGATTTATAATAAAAACCTGGTCCAAAGATACCCGATTTGACTGTACTCGAATGCCATTTATTAATAGTTCAATATCAATAACGGAATCCTTTTTAGGGGCAAAGAGGCCAAACAGTAGGTTAGAACAATATTCTAAAAAAAAAACAACGTCCCAATTTGATTTTAATGCACTGCACGGACCGCTATAAAATACATAAACGTGTGAACAGAAACATTAAAAACATAAGAAACAAGCGCCGCTCGACGCATAAAAACGAGTCGTCACATGATTCGAACTACGATACGTGCGGTGTTGGATTCTAATTCCTCGCAGCGCATTTTAATGTAAACAGTTCCATTTGATTACACAGCTTCCATAGTATCTGCCGAGGCGGCGGTGGCCGACTGCCGACTGGGTGAACGAGACGGCGAAAACCTCCTAATCTGTTTTTAAGCCTTATTGCGATGACACACACGGCTCTTTTTGCCAAGTCGGTAGCTGCGACTACTAAGACATGCACTGCGGTTTTTGACAGATAATTTCTTTCGGTTTTTTTTTGTGATTTGTGGTAAACCGCGACTTTTTTGATCTGATTGCTTCACTGTTAGAAATCAACCACTCTACGGATTCTAACTAGAACAGTATTTTATCTCCTTCTTTTTGTCGTTTACTGTTGAATTTTCTTCGACAAAAATGTTTATAGTTTCCTCCCGTCATTTCTGTTTCTTCATCTGTTACTATAATTGGAGTTCCAGAGTCGTTAACAATACTCGTATTCTAGGTGACTATATTGATATCATTAGTTGGTGAAAGGCAGCAATAATAACATCAATAGTAACCCTAAATAATGTCACATATCTATTTGATGTAACTGATACCTAAGTTGTCATAAAAACACTAAGAATATAAATTTTTAATGAATTTCGTGTGATACCAGATCACGTAAGATACGGGTATTCTAAAATCCTTTTCCAATATCCATTTCTAAAATCCATTTCTAAAATCCATTTCTAAAATCCATTTCTAAAATCCATTTCTAAATTTCATTTCTAAAATCTATTTCTAAAGTCCATTTCTAAAATCCATTTCTAAAATCCATTTCTAAAATCCATTTCTAAAATCCATTTCTAAAATCCATTTCTAAAATCCATTTCTAAAATCCATTTCTAAAATCCATTTCTAAAATCCATTTCTAAAATCCATTTCTAAAATCCATTTCTAAAACTAAAATCCCCATTTCTAATATCCAACGATAAAATTAATTTCCAAAATCCATTTCTAAAGTATTAAATATGCAAGTACATCCATATTTGAACGTAATTTTTAATTCTGATCAACTTTTTTTGTAACATTTTTCGATATTGTAAAATTTAAAGGTACTTTACTCTTGAGTAAAACTCATATTTTTTGACAAACCTCGTATATCACTGAAAAAATTTGATAATTGATGACTGTATTCTAGGTTTTAGATAATTCGCATTCTTTTAAAAGCATTGCGGATAAATTGTCAATTCCAGGTAAGGAATTTGAATGAATTTTTTTGAGATTTTCATTAACAATTGCAGATGAGAACTCGACATTACATAAGGAGGTTACTGTTCAGGCATCGTGACTAACTAGGATGTCACCTGTGGGTTCTAAGGAAAATACTTGTGGAAAATGGTTGGTAAAAGCTTCAGCTGTTTCTTGATCATTATTACATAAGATTCCATCCATTTTTTAATAAGCGGGACTGGTACTTTGGAAGACAGAGAGCATATTACGTGTTTAAATAGCTTCTTAGGATTATCGCTACTAGCGATATATTCTTCGTATTCTGTTCTTGCGTTATCAATAACATTGATTAAATCGTTAGCGAAACGTCGATGGTTAACAAAATCATCATGTCTTTTGGTTTGTTTTAAATTTTTTCCATATATTTTTCTTATGTTTAATTAAAGTTAAAAGTTGTCGATTGATCCAGGGTTTTAATTTGTTTTTTTTTGTGTTGGCCTTCACAATTTCAGATATCTTTGTATGAAATAGTGTCTACATATTTTTTACTAATACAGTACCTCTAAAAAAGTGATTCCAATCAATTTCGGAGATGACTTTCTTTACGTTATTAAAGTTTGTGACACTGTAGGTTACGTTCCAATCGGGATTAGGGGTTTCTATGTTAAATTGCGTATTAAATATAATAATGCCATGGTAAGATTTCCCAATAGGTGAGTGGATAGATGGAGAAATTAGAAGTTGATCATCATTTGTTAATATAAGGTCTTGATTTAAGCGAACGCGGGTAGGTTCAAGATTGGAGTTTATAATAAAATTTATAAAGTGTGAAACAGAGTGCTGTGATACTTCAAGACCTACAGTAAGTGGCCAGAAAATTTCTGGAAAGTTGAAATCCCCAACCACCACTAGATTGTCATGAGAAATAGATAGGTTTGAAAGTACCTCAAAAAGCTGTTGGTCGTTTTCTAGAGAAGTTTTCTTTGGAGGACGATATAAACATACCAGAGTGGTTAAGAAATATTTGTATGATAGTTTTAACGAGATTAAATCTGTATTGGGAATATCGATATCTAAGGCAGTGACAGAGTAAGTTGAAGTGATGGAAGACGCTATGTAGATGCAGACCCCTCCACCAACATTATTTGCGCGGTCGCTTCTGTAAATTGTGAATCCAGAAATTTTAATAAGTGAATCGGGAATAGACAACTTGAGCCAAGTTTTAGAGAAAACTGTTGCAATGAGTATAAAAAACTATTGAATTTAGCAGTTAGAGAATCCAGGTTAGTCTCAGTAATTTAGAGTTTTAAAATGATATCCGTTCAGTAGACTTATTTGTGCACAAAATGGGTAATATAAATGTAGCTGTGGAAATATTATACCTATTTTAATGAATTTCGTTACGTTTCCGCAGAAGACATGTGTCCCTTGGAGGCACAATTTTAATATCGAATTTATGCGGTTATATAAACAAATTATTGCTTTCAGTTCTACTGTGTAATAAAGAAAATCTTAAAATGACTAAATAAAATTTCCACCTAATTTCAAATAATAATTCTATAGTGGTGCTCAACTGTAAGCTTGCATAAAGGCGCGCTATTCAGCAAAGAAGCACCATCATTCACATAATTAAGTTGTGTAAGGTAAATAGAACGAATGATCAATATAGTTACAAAGAAAATATGAATGCGATCTGATAAAATGTAATTTTGGTAATATAATTTCCCGAACGAAAACTGATAAAGGTTTCAAAAGTTTTTAAAAGTTCTTGCTTCATAAAAGCATTTTTCCGTTGTTTCCTTTTAGCCTTTCACCTATTCGTTTTGTATAACTGCATGTCTAGGCGGAAACACATTTTCGTTCCAATATATAATAAGCAAACGAACAATAGAGTCCAGCAAAAGAATAAGGGGGTTACATTAAAATTTACACCAGAGGTCGATACAAAACATAGGATTGTGACGGTTATATATTAGGCCACTAGAGGGCGCAACTGCAAGCGAATCGAGGCATTGCTAGCATCTCGATGCCGTCAGTATCACGAGGAATTTAAACCGACGCACTACCCAGACGCCGTTGGCTCTAATATATATGTGTATATATGTCTATATATATACATCTCTAGTTGCTGTCAAAACACGCGCTAAACCCTGCTGAAGTAATTTGAAATAAATGAATTTATCGCTCAAATATTTTTATCCCTTTAAAATTATTACAATGTTAAACTTATTGTGCTTCTAAAACTCAACCAAAACTGTTTCTTGGAAAAATTAAATAATGGTGTTGAAGGTTTGAATGTGTAGTAAAAATTTTTGGTGATTTTCCTGAATTTTTTTTTAAGTGGATTGTAATGTGAAATATTTTTGTGTAAAATAAACGAACCTTTCGAACTCAACCCGAATGATGTGGCAGTCAGAATTTAGCTGTCTTGTAGCGGTGACAATTTTCTTCGCTAATACAGGTAAAGGGTTAGAAATGATTACATTTCATTAGAGAAGGGTTTATAACTGTTATGTTTGGAAGGCTTTGCTGTGTTATTACAATGTTGAAATGAATAAATTTTCCTGCTGGTATTAAATATACAATATTTAGAATAACTTTCTGCCGACGGCCGGCACCACTGAATTTTTTTATTAAAATTGAATTATTTGTACTGCTAGATCAGTAGCGATAGATAATATTGGTTACCCCTTTGGCGACGTTTTAATATACTTATTAATATCGTCAGAGTCAACTGTTAGAAGTTAATCGAGGAAAACTCGTTTATTGCCGTCAAATTATTATATAGTAGCACCATAATTCGCAACTTGTCAATGGAAAACACCCGTTAATTATTGACGGTTTAAGAGATTCCTGCGAAATTCTAGATCGGTGCTTGTTAACCTCATTGCATTTGAATCTCTAATTCATCTAGAGTTTACGAGGATGATTTGAAAAATACTCAGAATGGGTTGGAAAAATTATATTGTGCGGCGAATTTAGGGACAGATGCGCCCCTAAGCACTATATGTCTCAGCGCGTCCACCCAGACCTTAAAATATCGTAATTGAAAATAATATTTAATAATAAATAATTAAAATAATAATACAAAAACCAAACTTCAAACACAATTATTGAATAGAAAACAAGCGACAAGCATAGGTCTGGAACATAAAAGTCCAATGTCACAATCAATTTCTTTTATATGGAAAATTTTTCAATGAAAGTTTCAAAATTAAAATCACTGTTGAGGATACCTGCATTTGTTGCTAAGTAACTTAAACGTTCTTCATCCATTTATGCCCAAAGAAGACAGAAAATGACCGTTCTGCTGAACAATTCGTAATACAACAAGCGAAAACATCGTCCGTTAGTAGGAATTAGATGAAAATAAAACATTGTAAAATCAAAATAAGGACTAAAAACGATAACGATAGGCGAATGGATGTAAAATCCGCAGTCATAGAACCCCAAACAACAACAACAACAACAACAAACATCGCCCGTCACCAAGTGTTATAACCAATCAGTTAAAGAACTTACCGCTTATCATCAGTGTAACAACTGCTAGTAGTTTAATTATTGTTTAACTAATTTAGGTCACTATCACTAATATACTATTAAAGGATGTGCGCAGCACTATCACCAGCTATAGGGTCCTGGAGTTTTGAAGGAACATCCATTCATCAGTGGCAAAAAAATATAAAAATAAAAAAAACCAAATAATTGGCAACTTGTTAAAGAGTTTGCTAGTCCTTAGGGGTAGGAACGCCAAGGCTTTACAAATGCTCGGAATATTTCATAACTGATTTCGGAAAAGGGTGCAAGAATAATAATGAGTGAATAAACAGTAACATATGTATATTGAAAAGGCTGCAAAATTAAACAGTCTCAAGCATGGGCGTCGTTTGGAAGGAAAAGAGGGGCAGTTGTCTCCCCCTGGCTTTTACGACTTAATCGCGTAAAATATGCATTACGAACAACAATCTTATAAAAATAATAATATTCAGGTTAATACAATTGAAGAATATTATAGGTTGAATATATTTATTGCATATCTGGATTCCCTTACGTCCCATCACACTTTTCCGAAGACTCTGTTAGTTTTTCTTTAAGCCTGTTACATCCTAAAAACATAAAAAACTACTTTTTTCACTACCGGTTAGAAAACGAAAGTAGTGGAAAAATTTGGAATCGACAATTTTGAAGCTGAGTACGAAACTGAAGTACGAAAGAGCTTTCTGCGCACAATGAGCTCTCCATTAATAATATAGCGTCCAAACATTGTGAATTTTATCCAGACATACAAAGTGGTTTAAAAATTATGTATGGCTCTTCCACCAACGACAGAGTTAATCGAAAGAAAGTTTAGCACGCTAAGGCATGTTAAAACATGGCTACGGTCTATTCGATCAGTGCGAAGTCATGGTAGGGGAAGCAAAAGCGATACTAGTGCAAGCTGCGGATAATTCGAGTACTTTAGGGCGATATTTTGTAATTTTGACGTATCAAATACACGTATACATTTTACTTTTTACTAAAAAAATAGGTTAAAAACAATAAAATGAGCAACGGGAGTTGCTATGTTGCAAATTATACTAGCAAAAAACTGTAAATTATATAAATTTTCAGTAGCAAAATCGAAATTAAATCAAAGAAATAAATAAACAGCTGTATAATAAGAAGAAAAATCTTTATTTTTGTAATAATAACAGTAATACTGGAAATAATAGACATTAGAAAAGGTTTTAAATAAACAATAAATTATTATTTTACTATATTCTTCAACAACCCTTAAATCTTAAATGTTTAGCAAATGATTAGATTTCTGCCTTTGATTATTGTATATGGCTGAAATGCAATCTTGTGACTTATTGATAGGAAACCAGTTTTAATTATTAATTTCTGTGGGTTCTTTCGAACTAAAAATGAAGAAAATATAAATTACAATCGTCGCCTTAGTAAGAAAAATGCGTAACTCCATTTTAGTAAAATTTATAGCAGATGCAATTAATTGTTTTTTGGCCACTACAGTAGTGATACAATACATGAATAAACAAATGTGTTTTCCTTTATTTGTCTAAAATTACAGTACTTTATCAGTGCTGTAATAGTCAAAAGACAATTATTTGCATCAGTTATAAATTTTACTAAAATGGAGTTACGCATTTTTCTTACTAAGGCGACGATATACCAATTATTTTTATTAATACGTTTTAATTCTGTTATTATATAATGGTAATGTTTTTATTTTGACATTATTTAACCTATTCTTCAATGACAACTTATTAGGCTTAGGCAAGATTCCATACATTTTCTCGTAAATACCTGCCTATGTTTTATTATTGATTTTGATTGATTATACTACTTTTTTTTAGCTGAAGTAATAAAAATATATAATAATAATAATTTGTTTACTTGTTTTACAAATCCATATACTTTTATTAAAATTAACATATACATTTCTTAATTACAAACTCTATTAAAAATTGTATTGTCAGTATACGCAAATATCGTCCGTTAGTTCATAAAATAGTTGGCGCTGCTGTCACGCATGAAGCGAATAATGAATGAAGATAGGCTGACTGAAAAATAAATTATGTTTTCTGTTATCGATATTTTTAGTAGAGAAAAACGAAATTTAAAATTTGCCTTTTCCTGAGTTTTTTTTATAAATTTTTATTATTTAATTATTATGTATGGCTTTGTCTTCTTGTTCATATTTTTCTTTTATATCACACCTTCTGTTTGTTTTTTAAAAATGTGTTTTAAGTTTCTTGTTTTTTCTTTATTTTAGTTTTTGTCTTTTTTGTCGGGTTATTTTATTTATTAGAGACTTGTTATGACAACTTAAGTATCAGTTCTATCAAATAGGTCAGTGACATTGTTAGGGTTACTACTAAAGTTCCACTCCCCCTTATCTTCGCTATAGTGAGATATCGGAATAATTTTGTTGTGTTTGAAAGACTAGAACAAATACTTTCTTATGATGGATTCAGTTGTTCTGTGAAGTCATGGTTTACTTCCGGTTTTTCCGGAAATAACAAAAAAACCGATTTTTTTTTTAATTTTAGAAGGAAACCCTCTTTTTTATTGTAAATTTAAATTTCTGGGACATTTTTTGTATAATAATCGTGTATTGACAATTTTCTGTCAGCTGTCAAAATGGCCGCCATATTGATATTTTGTCTAAATATGTTACTATTAATTCGTTTATGGAAAAACATATAAGAATGTACGAACTTTATAAAAATTTTTTAGGCTTCAAAATTCTCAATTATTAGCAAACCGTTTAATAATTCTATCTGCTTCTATCTTCGTTGTTAATTGAGATATTGGAATGAAAACTTATTTGTTTAAAAGCTTGGGACACATACATACTGGATTCAATTTGTGTGTGACTTCATGGCTTACTTCTATTTTATCGGAAATAACAAAAAATCTCAATTTATTTTTAATTTTTAAATAGAAACCCCCGTTTTTATTGAAAATTTGAATTTTAGGGACATTTGTGGATAAGAATTATGTGTTGAAAAGTCAGCTTTCAAAATGACAATCATATTGGAAAATATTATTTTTAATATGTTACTGACAGAAAATTTTCAATACACGCTTCTTATACAAAAATGTCCCAGAAATTCAAAGTTTCAATAAGAAAAAGGGTTTTCATTTAAAAACAAAAAATAAATTGCAATTTTCTCTTATTTCTGGAAAAACCGTCACAGAATAATTAAATCCATCATAAGAAAATTCTCTTTTACTTTTCATTTTCTTCTAATTTTTTTCAAAATGTTGCCCCTTCCCATAGAATTGTGTAACGACGCCCATGGTCTCAAGATAAAAAAATAATTTTATTATTTAGGGAATAAACTGTTTGATAATACCAGTATATCTAAAGGTTTTGATAATGATTTAAATAGTAATTTACACAACTTATGACAGTTATCGACTTTATATTGGATTATCTGTATGGTTTAACAATTTTACCATTGAAAAATTAAACTACATACGATAAATATTTAGTGATCAAACTTGGGACGAAAATGGAAAAATTGGCACTTACATGGAAAACAATTAATCGTCTTAAAGCACAAAATCAACCAAACAAATTTAAACGAACATGTAAAATAATTAAAGATATTTTACGCTTACCTCTGACACATACAACTTCGCACCACAAACTTTTACTTTGCAAAGATAAGTGGCTTCGGGAGATAGGGTCCCGAAGGCACCGTAAATACTAGAGTTTCGACATAGCCCTTACTCAAGTCTCCCTTTCGACTATCGACTCTCTATTTATATAAAAAATGTACGCGACAGGTTAATTATTACTTTTAAGAATATTAATGTATGATTTTGAACAACTCTGGTTCAATCTAAGCCACAGCGAGCATATTTGCTAAAATTAACTTATTAGGCATCAAATATTAGCAGACCTTGAAACCGAAGCTGTACACTCTCTAATGCCGGTTCTATTTTCAT